TGCCCATTTTAACTTTCATCTCTGTGGGTCACATCCGCCACAGATGTGATTAAAATGGCTCCTCTGAAACCTCTCGATTATATTTGCTGCTACCAGTCATTATAGATACTTATCTTCCAGTTATGCTCATTGACGGCATTGACGAAGAAGCCACTGGGAGCTATGCACTATTAAATCTAGATTGAAAACTAATTTTGTTTAGAACTGCTGTTTGTGTTTAGCTTGTTGCCCTTTCCGCCGCACCTCCGACAAGCGCAGAAGGCTATATACGGTACGCAAAGACGTTCAACGTACATGTTTGCATAATTACTGTTCGCATCGTGTTTTCATTGTTGACATATTTTCTGTAAACGAAAAAAGTATTCCAAGTGTAAATTAAGCGATGCGATTTTTTTTTTGGTCTCACCTGTCCAGCATGAGAAGATTCCCGCACACAGTAGAGTCCATCCCTGGGAGAACTGAACTTGATTTTACTGCCAGGGGTATCCAAACAACAACAACAACAACGCACAGTCACACAAACTTGACACGTATTTGGTCGGGGGGCGGGTTCCAAATGAATCTGAGATGTAAATTACATTGTTTCTCATAATCATCACGTTTTCATTGCACAATGAACTGTTCATGTAAAGTAGTCATGATTAATGACCAAATACTTGAGTAAAAAATTAAACATCCAGCTATGACAAGTCCTCAGCAAGCAGATTTTTTTCCCCCAAAAAGTCTAATTGTTACGTTCTTATGATGCAGGCTAGAAAAATGAACAAGCATCACCAGCTCCCCGCGTTCCAGCAAAATTAGCTCACTAATGACATTTTAAGTGCTGCAGTTCAGGAACAAGTTTATTTAAAACAGAAACCATGGCAAGATTTGATCATACTTTAAAAAAATCGATTACAGTACAGGACGGCCCAAGAATCAGGTCACATAGGGTTATTATATTTATTGTGACAAATGTTCGACCAGACTTCCATTAACATTAATGCATGCGTGAATGATCTTTTTAATTTAATTTAGGACTTATTTTTAAATATTACATGTGTGTCTCAATCCATTCCAGGTTCTTGGTCGAGTTTTGTATACGGCAAATTTGAGGTGACCCCACAGGAAGAATAAGAATAGATATTAATAATGACACCAGATAAATAATTAACTGAATTAAATAAATAATACTTTTTTATGCCAGTGTTAAAATAAATGAAGTGACCCTATGTGTATCTATGGGACCTTTGTTTATTTTCCAGTTTTTCCGAAAGTACGTGTGGTTAATGCAGACTTGATGACTTGCAATAGGAGTGTCTATTCGGTGTTTGAACATCTTAACGCCTTCTGTGTTATTGTCAGAAAGAGTTATGTAACGTTTCATCACTGTGGAGCCTATGCTTCGTAAAGGATTTCATTCCTGTACGATTGTCGTTGCCACGCATCACATTTGGTGGTGTTGGCTCTCTGACCAAGGACTTCTGTCCCCACGTACGTAGCTGTCCTGCAGAGAGGGATTTTTATTTTTATTTATTGCCCAAAAAAACGCCATGGCACAAAGCTGTGAAAAGTCGTGTAAATTCGCGCCCCTTTGATCAACCCTCATACACCTCTCTGCCATTGCCAGAAAGGGTAAATGCCTGTTCTTCTTATTTCATAACCCTACGCGTCCTAACTTTTGTGCCACCCTGTATGTACATATTGAAGCATCGCTTACTTCTCCATAACTGAACTCCCGCAACAAATAAACACGGAATCTAACAATTTAGGAATCACATTGCCATATTGATATCACTGACTTCCTTCCGGCTTGACCATACCATTTCCGAATTTTGCGAAGCGTACCGTACTTCAGGTAACTACGTGTGTAGTGGATTTTTCAATATATATAAAACAAATTCTAATTGCAAAATTGCATAATGGCGGGAAAAATTAACTAATAATAAAGTTAATGTATGCGAGTGCTGCTCCTGCTCAGGTGATCGCAGCTGTGATGTACAGCTCCATGGTGTCCACAGCAGTGGTTCTCAACCTATTTGTTGGCCACTGTGCCCCCTTGTTGAATGTTGTTTCAAGCGAGTAGTACCCCCCTGCACCTTGCCTGACCCAACGTGGTACTGAGAATTAAATGTATGAATAATGAACGTCAATATTTTAGCGAATTGTCCATTTTGTGAGGTATCCTAACATGCTATAAACTGCAAGCGGATAAAAGCAAATTAAACGGACGCAATGCATGTGCAGGGTAATTTGTTCACATTCGCTGATTACTCTTGGAAACGGCTTTGTTTAGAATCGATGATTTTAGAAAGGTATTTGATATCGTTTTAGGTTACCATATGGATTTACATTTTATCGTAGTTATTGTATATTGGCAGATTCATACCGATGACTATCATGTATGATATAATTTCAGACATTTATGAATCACCTCACGTACTCCCTGGGACATTGCTATGTACCCCAGGGATCCGCGTACCCCTGATTGAAAACCACTGGTCTACAGGGTCCACCGCGTGTTGTTCGGCACAATGTCAGACATCGGAGAGGTATATGGGCAGTCCTTGACTTACAAACGGGTTCCGTTCCTGAGAGCCGTCCAAAAGTTGAATAGTTCGTAAGTCGTAACACAGTGATGCACTGAATTTAAATGCACATACGGTCAGTGTTATGAAATGTGTTACGATTCAACAAAAAAGAGAAGCATTGTTAAACTCATAAATAAGAATAAATATTGTACATTTGCGTGTAACACTGCAAAATGTTCCGCAGTTCGGTTCGCAAGTGCGAATTCACGTTAGAAAGTCGGATGGTTAAAAAATAAATATCTTTTGGACGCTGGTTCGTAAGTGCAAATGTCCACAAGTCGTGCGTTCGTAAGTCGGAAACTTCGTGTATAGGCGGTCGTGACTTGTGAGCTGTGCAACCCCGATGTCGCACCTTTCGACCATGGCGCCATCACACGTCAAAAAGAACATGTCTTCAGGCATGATGTCCCTCATCTGAAACGAGACGTCGCACGGACTGTGCATTCAAAGGGTGGCACACGTCACTTGGGAATGACACCCCATTATACCATGAGCAGGTTCACAATATTGTCCTTTATTTGAAAGGATATGATATGTTTGCTTTTGTAACTTGCTAACCCACTCATACTGGACATCTGTGAAAAAAACTTTCATAGCTCATCGGATTTCTTCAGTCTAAATACATATTCTGATTCTGACAAATATATGCCTCGTGACCAAGTCTCTGCCATCTACCCAACCTCTGATTAGCACGGTTGGCTATGTACGAAAGAAGTTCAACATACATGCATACAATGTTGCCAGAAATCAGAAGCTAAGCAGGCCTGAGCCTAATCTAGATTTGAAGTTTTCGTGACTGCAGGGATCCATACTCTTTGGTTCTTTTGGTAAAGTCACGTAGGTAGAAAATAAAATAAATAATTGTATTTCTTTTAAAATAAAAATAAAATAAAATAAATTTATAAAATTAATATTTACTATATTTTATTTTATACCTACGTGACTTTACCGAAAGAACCAAAGAGTATGAGGCCTGAACCTGTGCAGTTGCTTGCACATGCACCACAGTAATGTAACCATCACTCCGCGAGAATCAAAACTGCTTATGTACGAAAGAAGTTCAACATACATGCATACAATGTTGCCAGAACTCAGAAGCTAAGCAGGCCTGAGCCTGTGCAGTTGCTTGCACATGCACCACTCGACCACTCGACGAGAATAAAAACTGCTGCTGTTGTTAAAATGTGTATCTGTGAATCCTGTGCGCACGTCTGTCCATCCTAGGTGTGCGCGCGTATGGTGTGTGTTTTACCTCCATCGCCCATTTCGATTCCGTTGCGGCAGACCTGAAAAGAGACGTGCATGTCGATAAATTAACACTTTATAATAATAAAAACTTGTGGTTTTTAAGCGGTGCTTCTGCACACGATCCTCCCCCCACTGCCGCCATCTCCCACCTCCTCTCCCTCCACCTACTTTTGCTTCTGCAAACAAATCGCTACGTGCGCAGATGAATGACCGACAATAATTCCGTGCGTGCCACGCTGCCCAGACTGCCCGAGAGGTACGAGCAGGCGTAATAAAAATATATTTCATGACAAAAGCTACAAACATAATTTGGAAATTTCCTCGTTCCAATAATAAGTGTTCAGCTGTTGGTTTGAGGCAAACATCGCAGTGGTAGACTGACTGTATGCCTTCTCTCGAGATAAACCTACATGCAGTATATTGTATACATATTGCAACCACACAGCATGTGTGTCTCTCTGAAGGATAAAGCGAAAAGTGTACATTTTACTGTCATTTTTTTCAAAACGACCTCTTAACAAATCTGCAAAAATACAAGCAAGCCCGATCATCAACACAAAACGAGTACAGGCTGGAATACCAAACAACATGCAGTTACGTGTACACAGAACTCGGCGTCTGTGCATTATGTAGAAAACCATCAGCAGTTCCTGAAGAATTGAACTGTAATCCTCTTGTCTGTGGTCACCGTCAAATAAAAAATTAAAAAATTAAATGAGCGACTGACAGCAGCGGTGATGCAGTGATTGGCAACCGTTGACAGGTTTCGTCATTGCTAGGACTCATCAGTACGATATAGCCACCAATGCTCCCTGCTGCAATGTCTGCCGATGGAGCCCATGAGCTTGGCTGAATGCCAACATAATTCAAACCTGTAAATGACGGAAACCATTGTTTCTGTTGAGTTGCCATTTTATCATCATTTCCATATTCGAATTTGAATTTCTGCTTTTGTATAAACAGTACTCAGTAGACTCTCAATTATCCACGCTAATGATGGGGAGAACAGCCGCGGATAATCCACAAATATCCAGTTTCGCGGATCTATATGCCAAAAACCACTAATATAGGTATCAATTAAAACTCATAAAATAAATGAGCAGATAAATCACTAAAAATTAAACTGACAATTTTAATTGTTACTCTTTCTATTTAGAACGAATACTAATGATCGACTGATCGATGCGCGTGCTCAGCGATAACACTTTCCTGCTCCCGTACGGAAGAGTCCGCCCACTAAGTGGACAGCAGCGGAGCCACACCACTCAAAATCAATCAAACTCCACCCACTGTTGTAAGATATGCGACTACTGTATTGTAGGTATAATGGCGGGATGTACCATTTCTCCATTGGCATTCATAATGGCAATGGAGGTTATCATCAGATCCTCAAAATGGGTTGCTGGTGGACAGCGAGTCGACTCTGGTTTTCGCCTCCCTCCACTCAGAGCCTACATGGACGACATTACAACATTGACCACCACTGTCCCATGCACCAGGAGACTGCTCAGAAAACTCGAGGAGAACATCAGCTGGGCCCGTATGAAGATTAAACCATCCAAGTCACGCAGCATCTCGATTGTGAAGGGAGTACTCTGTGACCTGAAATTCTTCATCGGAGATGACCAAATCCCAACAGTGTCTGAGCAGCCGGTAAAAAGCCTTGGAAGGTGGTATGATGCAAGCCTGAAGGACAAAGACCAGGTGCAACAGCTGCGCAAAGACATCAGTAGTAGCCTACAGTCCATCGACAACACCCAGCTACCTGGAAAGTTAAAGGCCTGGTGTCTGCAGTTTGGTCTCCTACCCCGGGTGTTGTGGCCCCTAGCAGTGTATGAGGTTCCAATCTCAACAGTGGAGAAGATGGAAAGAGGAGCCACGAGCTACTTAAAGAAGTGGCTCGGAGTTCCACGATGCCTTACCACCATAGGCCTCTATGGAGATGGTGTCCTCAAGCTGCCCCTCACCAGTCTAACCGAGGAATTCAAGTGTGCAAAAACCAGGCTCCAGATGACACTGAATGAATCTCGAGACCCAGTGGTGAGCAACAACGCGCCGACCTTGGCAACTGGGCGCAAATGGAGGCCAGGAAAAGCAGTCCAGGAGGCAACAGCAGCCCTCAGACATGCTGACATTGTGGGTCATGTTCAGCAAGGGAGAGGAGGCCTTGGGCTAACTAGCCGTGCTGCTTGGAGTAAGGCCACTGCACCAGAGCGGCGGAAGATGGTAGTGCAGGAAGTACGCCATCAGGAGGAGGCTGCAAGGTGGGCCAAGGCAGTCTCTCTTGCCAAACAAGGACAGTGGACTCGATGGGACAGTGTGGAGAAGAGGAAGATCAGCTGGAAGGATCTGTGGGCCATGGAAGCGAGGCGGTTGAGCTTTTCCATCAGAGCAACATATGACATCCTTCCAACACCAGTTAATCTTCACCAATGGTATGGTGAAGATCCGGACTGTGCCCTCTGTTCCATGCCAGCCAACCTCAGGCACATTCTCACAGGGTGTAAAACAAGCCTCACCCAAGGACGCTACACTTGGCGTCACAACCAAGTCCTTAAAAACCTTGCGTCCGCCCTGGAGGACAAGCGAGCTGCCACCAACTCCCTACCACCCCCAGCAGCATCACACCCCTTACGGACGACCTTTGTCCGCGAAGGGGCTAAACCACCGAAGAGCGGCTCTACACCAATAGAGCGAGACCAGCTGCGCTTGGCCCGCGACTGGAAAATGCTAGCTGACATTGGCCGGCAACTTGTGTTTCCTCCGGAGATCGCAACCACCACCCTAAGACCTGACATGGTGCTCTGGTCCCGTTCGCTCAAGAAGGTCTTCATCATTGAGCTCACAGTACCCTGGGAGGACTCAGTAGATGAGGCTTATGAGCGAAAACATCTGCGCTATGCCGATCTAGCTGCCGAAGCACGGCATCATGGCTGGAACACAGAAGTCCGACCAGTGGAGGTGGGCTGCAGAGGTTTTGTGGCAACATCTACAACCAGACTGCTTAGAGACCTGGGAATTAAGGGCCAGAGCCAGCGTTCGGCAATCAAAGCTGTATCGGAGGCGGCAGAAGGCAGCAGTCAGTGGCTCTGGATGAAGAGGAAAGACCCCAGCTGGGCCCCAAAGTGAGAGGGCCAGGAGGTATGCAGTCAACAATGCTTGACTCAGGGAGGAGGACGCCCCTGCCATGCATAGTCCCATGGGATGTTGGCTACCAACAACAAGGCAACTCCTATGACTAATTGGGAATGGGACGCAAGCGTAGGATTGATCACCCTGTCGCTGGCCGCCTTTGGGGAGGGTGTATAGTATGAAAGGCCGAAACACCCTAGGAACCAAAGGTCACTACTGACGATGCGCTCCCCAAATTTCACCAGGCTCACTGTTCATGAACTCTTGGAAGTGCTTGCACAAAGGATAGTAACATCTCATCCTGTGTTCTTTGGAATCTGGACAAAGGTGCTCCGGAGCGGCTGCTGACCGACCAGGGCAAAAATGTTTCCGGCAAACTACTCCAACAAGTTTGTGAGCTCCTGGGCACGAAGAAAATTCGTACCTCCCCGTATCACCGCAAACTGACGGGATGGTCGAGCGTCTGCATCGAACCATCACGTCAATGTTGTCACAGCAGGTTTCGGACTCACAGACCGATTGGGACCTGAAAATTCAAGGGGTCTTGGCGGCATACCGGATGGCACCCCATGCAGCTACGGGATTTTCCCCCTTCTACCTCATGTACGGCCGCGAACCTGACCCGCCTGTTCGTGCCCAGCTGCAGATCCCCGCGCCGCAGGGTAAAACTAAATTGGCTGACCATGTAAAATTTAATCTGGCCAAATTAACAGAGGCACGGGATGCTGCCATGCAAAACTCTGACCTCCGTCAGAAAGCGAATGAGCGGCTCAGACTGGGTCGGGCGCACATGCTGCAGTGAAGCCGGGGGACAAGGCATGGCTGCACTGTCCCAGGTGCCACTTGCAACCTCCTCTAAGCTGGTGCGGCCGTGGCGGGGCCCTGTGGAGGTGGTCGAGGTTTTGCGACCGCAGTGCGTGCGCATCAAATGGGGAAGCGGCGGTGGTTCGTGCACCCCTCTAGATTAAAACCCTTCGTTGCGGTACACATCCCCACTTCACACACGCGTGGCCAAACATGTGGGGGGTCGACCGACTCGCTGGGTCCGTCTCTGTCGCTCTCACCTAATGCCTTGCCGGCTGTGCCACCTCCAGGTGCATCAGGAGTGACGGGCTCACGCCCGATCACCCCTCCTGGGGATGCCAAGGGTCACGCGGCATCGGATGAGGACTCACTCCGAGACGGACAGTTGCCACCTGACGGTCCGCCACCCGGGGTTACCCCGTGTGAGGGGCCCGCTGCAAGGACGCGCGCTAAAATGCGCAGACTGTTGTGAGGCCGGAAGATGTGTACATAGGTTGTGTTCATTGTGTGTTGTGTTGGTGGTGTGTTCCCTGCTCATTGGATGTACATATGTTGGGTTCACCATGTGTTGTGTGTGTGGTGTGTTCCCTGCTCATTGGATGTACATATGTTGGGTTCACCATGTGTTGTGTGTGTGTGGTGGGTTCCCTGCAAATTGTATATAGGCTGTTTTTACGGAATTCGTATTTATTCGGGGGGGGGGGGGTGCGTCGGGTTGTTTTCTCTTCTTGCTGTTGCGTTCTTGTTGTGTTCTTGTTGTTGTTCTTGTTATTGTTGAAAAATAGTGAGGCACACGCGCGGTCAGGGGGTAAATGCACTTTTATTGTCATTTTTTTTTGTATGTTGGCAGCCGGGACGGCTGCAAGCTATGCGGGGGGGGGGGGGGGGGGGCGGGGGCGGTGATGTAGGGGTGTTAGAGAGAGAGCCCGTTATGCATGGCAGCTTATGGCAAACAAACACAGTGGGCGGGGCTACGTGAGTGCACGGGGAGGTGCTCTCTATGACGTCCGCGCCAGGCACCCTGGGGGGGCTGATTCGGAGTTATGATCCCCCGGGGCCCCACCCCTCAGCGGGGGGTTGGGTATAAAAGGGGATGTGTCGGAGGGCTCGGGGAGAGATGTTAAGCTAACCAGTGAAGACTGAAGACGTCTTAGCTAGAGCCCTGGACTCCCCTGGTTCGCCGTCCTTATCAGGGCCGAACAGGACCGAGCCAGCGGCGTGGTCCCGAGAGCCAGAGCCGGTGCTCTTGTCAGAGCTGGTCTGTGACTCAGGGTACCGGGCCCGACTTACCAGTGTCGGGCCAGATAGCCTTCCTAGCCCGTTAGTGGAGGACTAGGAGGCAGGCTAGGAGTAGCTAGCGCGTGTATCCCCAGCTAGCCGGGTGAGGGGGCCGATACCCCCTCTAGTGTTGTATGCCACTACCGTGCTGTGTGAAATAAACCCGTGTGCCTCCAACTCCGGCGTCCAAGAGTCGTGAACTCTATTACACATTGGAGAAACCAAACGACATGTCTCGGACCGCATCCGTGAACATAAAGCAGACTTGAAACACGGTAGGACAAACACCTCAGCCGTGGCAGATCACTGTTACAATTCAGTGGGCTCACATGATATTGACTTCTCCAAGACAGAGGTTCTCTGCAAGCCATCTGGCTACCATGAGAGATTCGTTCATGAGGCGATCCACATATACAAACACAGAGACAATTTCAACCGAGAAGATGGATTCTGGCTCAGCAATCATTGGAAGGACGTAATAAACCATTTCGGATCTTAACTGATTGTGTTCACGTTTACGGTGACTTTCAGACCGCGTTCCACTCACTGGCATTGACTATATATCTTGTATTCTCCGCAGGGAATGGATTCTTTGCTCCGCTGCAAGTCTCCTACCACTACTCTCCCATTGACATATTTCGTTGCTTCCTCTTAGTATCTTTCACACGACGGTCAATGGTGCAGTGTATAGTGGATTGTATAATTATAAATAGTATAAAATTGTAATGCTTTATACAATGTACAAAGTAATATATAGTATCGTAATTGTATAGTGAATATACAGCAGTGTGATATACATTAGGGTGGATAGAATAATACATAGTGTAATATTACAATGTATAAGGTATAGGGTGATGTATAGCAATACAGTATATAATTTAATGTTGGGTTTGTCTATGGCAGTATATAGTACGGTGTAGTCATATTCTTAGGTTTTTTCGGTAAAGTAGGTAAAACATTAAAATTAATAAAAGTAAAATAAAATAAAAAATCACGACGTTTCGGAGGCAACACAAGCTTCAGTCTTCAAGTGGAATCGTCACAGCCACGACAGCTTTATCAAGTAAATGAGAGATTGCAGGAGCTACCACTCCGTTTATATAATGGTTGGAGAAGGGGGGGGGTAAGGGCCAAGTACAGCACACTTTTTATTAATATGGTAAGGTGAGGCTTAAGAGGGTGAGCCTTTGCTATGGAGAGGTACGGTTTGTGACTAAACCTGTGACAAGGAGAAAACCACTAAACATGGTAAACCTGTAATAGTTGTCTGTCAAATAAGATTGGCAAATAAGTGTAGTTAAATCTTTTTTGCATGGTTAATCACATCTTTCCAATGATTACTCAGTTTGTAACCGTCATCACGGTTGAAATTATGTTGTGTTTGTATATTTGTATGGCTTCGTGTACAAACCTTTGATGGTAGCCAGGAGGTTTGCAGAGAACCTTTGTCTCGGAAAAGACAATTTCATGAGAGCCACCGAGTTGTAGCAATGATCGGCAACGGCCGAAGAATCAGTTCTGCCGTGTTTCAGATCTGACTTGTGCTCGCGGACACGATCAGCAACATGACGTTTCGTTTCTCCAATGTAGCAATCACCACAAATGCAACTCAATTTGTAGACTCCAGGATACTGTAAGTCAGGAACGACATCCTTCACAGATGGAATCAAATCACGGATTTTATGCACTGTACTGAATCGGACTTAGATCTTATGTTTGTTTAGAATTTTGGAGATCTTTTTGGTCACACCTGCTATGTATGGTAACGTGATAGTTTTTGGTCGGAGTTTCATGTGGCTGTTTCTGTGTGGTGGAGAAACAGCTTGGCGGATAGTGCAGTCAGAGTATCAAATCTAGAAGTACGGTGTAGACTCGTGTATTGTAAGAGAATAAAGTTTAGCTGGAAGCATATTATATTTTTTGCGACATAGAATTGTAATGTATTACTTACTGTTAGTAAACTCATCTTATTGGAGAGTATATTTAGTATACTGATGATACTATGTAGTTTATACTTTAGTTGTTTACGTGGTGGTTTAGTTACTGCAGCTACATACTATTAACACTCCTTCCCTTTATTAATGTTAACCCTATCTCTCCCTTTGATGCTGCTAATCCTGCATAATGCACGGCATAATGACTTTAAACCCCTTGCCAAACCTCCTACGCATTTCACAAGTAGTACTAATCGCATATCTGCATTTCACATAAATATGCTAAATTCCTCTTGATATGCAAATTATTTTGTCAAGGCGCTCTTCGCCCCTCCATCCCAGCTTAAATAGTCGCTCCAAGCCTGGGGCGTGTCATTTAGACTCTTGTCTTCTCGACAGACCTGTTCTCCACCTGAGGACGGCTGCTTGCATTGTGGGCGAAACGTCGTGAGAATTATTTGATTATGTTTTATTTTTATTATTTTATTATTTCCATTCTACGTGACTACCGAAAGAACCTAGAAGATGAATCCCTGCAGTCACGAAAGCTTAATTCAAAAGGTTTAGGATGATAATTCGTTTTTTACACTTCTATCTGGCAACAAAACTGACACCTTTTTTTACAAGGAGTCATGTTTGCATGGACCACAATACCTGCAGCCATAATGCAAAAAAAAACACAACTCTGATAATATATGCACTGTCCTTGAAGTTGATTGGTCCACACCCGAGACAGCTTTCCTTAGAGCTTAGTCTCACATGGGTTGGACCAGATGACGCCAAAAGGTGCACAACTCAAAGGGTGTGGACCAATCAACTTCAAGGACATTGCATATATTATCAGTTATGTTTTTTGTTTGCATTATGGCTGCAGGTACCATTCTTGGATCTTTTTATCGCAAACATGACTCCTTGTAAAAAAGGTGTCAGTTTTGTTGCCAGATAGAAGGGTAAAAAAAACATTTATCATATTTTTTGCTG